ATCAAGAGATTGTTTCACAGCATGTTCTTGGCATGTCACCAAAAGCAAGACAGGACAGAGTCACCCATGACTGGCTTTGCACAGCCATTGAAAGCATTTCTCCCTGGAAATCTCTTTCTTTTCCACACACAGGCTTGACAAACCAGAACAGACAGCTCCAAAAATACATGTCCTCCTTTGCAGAGACAGTCATGGGTCAGGGATTCAAAACAAAGCTACAAGAGCAGTGGAGGGAGCAGAACCTATTCTGGGTTTCAAAACAAAATAAAGCAAAACAAACTCCCCACTTCCCCCCCGCAAGTGCTGACAGGTTTCTTCTCTTCCCTTGGCCCCAGCAAGAGATTTGGTCAGCCAGGTGGGGGTTGGGCTCTGCTCCCAAGGAACAGGAGGAAACAGCCTCAAGTTGTGCCCCAGGGGAGGTTGAGGTTGGTGCTGAGGAACAATTTCTTGCCCTGGAGGGTTGCCCAGGGCTGTGCCAGGCTGCCCAGGGCAGTGGTGGAGTCCCCACCCCTGGAGGGGTTTCCAAGCTGTGGAGATGTGGTGTGAGGGACATGGGGCAGTGGGGACCTGGCAGTGCTGGGGAATGGTTGGACTTGATGATCTTAAAGGTCTCTTCCAACCAAAGTGATTCTGTGATCTGTGATCTATGATCTGTGAAAAGAAACAGGGAATAAAGAAAGGAAAAGGACAATAAAAACCATTTTGGCTTGATTTAATTTTTAACAAATTGTTTTCCTTGCTTTCCTTTCTGGAGCAAGAGGTGAAAATGGCTTTTAAAGAAAAGAAAAAAGAAAAAGAAAAGAAAAGAAAAAGAAAAGAAAAAGGAAAAAGAAGGAAAGGAAAGGAAAGGAAAGGAAAGGAAAGGAAAGGAAAGGAAAGGAAAGGAAAGGAAAGGAAAGGAAAGGAAAGGAAAGGAAAGGAAAGGAAAGGAAAGGAAAGGAAAGGAAAGGAAAGGAAAGGAAAGGAAAGGAAAGGAAAGGAAAGGAAAGGAAAGGAAAGGAAAGGAAAGGAAAGGAAAGGAAAGGAAAGGAAAGGAAAGGAAAGGAAAGGAAAGGAAAGGAAAGGAAAGGAAAGGAAAGGAAAGGAAAGGAAAGGAAAGGAAAGGAAAGGAAAGGAAAGGAAAGGAAAGGAAAGGAAAGGAAAGGAAAGGAAAGGAAAGGAAAGGAAAGGAAAGGAAAGGAAAGGAAAGGAAAGGAAAGGAAAGGAAAGGAAAGGAAAGGAAAGGAAAGGAAAGGAAAGGAAAGGAAAGGAAAGGAAAGGAAAGGAAAGGAAAGGAAAGGAAAGGAAAGGAAAGGAAAGGAAAGGAAAGGAAAAGAAAAGAAAAGAAAAGAAAAGAAAAGAAAAGAAAAGAAAAGAAAAGAAAAGAAAAGAAAAGAAAAGAAAAGAAAAGAAAAGAAAAGAAAAGAAAAGAAAAGAAAAGAAAAGAAAAGAAAAGAAAAGAAAAGAAAAGAAAAGAAAAGAAAAGAAAAGAAAAGAAAAGAAAAGAAAAGAAAAGAAAAGAAAAGAAAAGAAAAGAAAAGAAAAGAAAAGAAAAGAAAAGAAAAGAAAAGAAAAGAAAAGAAAAGAAAAGAAAAGAAAAGAAAAGAAAAGAAAAGAAAAGAAAAGAAAAGAAAAGAAAAGAAAAGAAAAGAAAAGAAAAGAAAAGAAAAGAAAAGAAAAGAAAAGAAAAGAAAAGAAAAGAAAAGAAAAGAAAAGAAAAGAAAAGAAAAGAAAAGAAAAGAAAAGAAAAGAAAAGAAAAGAAAAGAAAAGAAAAGAAAAGAAAAGAAAAGAAAAGAAAAGAAAAGAAAAAAGAAAAGCCCAAAATGGTAATTAAGTGCTTGATGGACATCTGTCCTTTCTTCTATATACCATGGTTTCCTCTGACCAGGAGGAGTAGCACAGTATGGCAACCTCATAACTTCCCCTGGACTTCAGCTTCAAATCCATGATTTGCCTTCTATCAACAATTAGAAGAGGGAAAAAAAAATCTCTCCCACTGTTCAATGCCACTCTTTAGATAATGTATTTATATGCTGACGGTGCACAGGAAGAGACCATCAGATAAGCTCAGAGGTCTCCAGTAGTGCCCATTTCCAGGGGCTGATGAAGACCTGTCAAATCTGTTGTATGCACACAGCAGTGCCTGAGATGTCTGTACCAGTTTAGCAAAACATTACTTGGGCTCTCACCATACCTGCATGCTGGGTGCCTCACCATCAAAAGACAGCCATTGGAGGCATTTTCCCCTCTTCACTCAGATGGGTGTACTTGGGTCACCAAGCTTTCCCTTAAACTTCCTGAGACTGTTGATACTGTCCAAAATGCCTGGATGGATTTCCTGACCCTGGGAATTTTGTGATTGCTTTCAATGGGGACAATAATACCTCCTCTGACTTTACTAACATATGCTGCTTCCTGGAAGAGGGAGGATGCTGCTATCAGATTATGCATAAGCAACAGAGGAATCAGTTCATGCAGTGTTTATTTTCAATAACATAGCCCCATATTTGTGCTTAAAATAGAGAAGTGATTTATTTCTATCTAGGACTTTTGCAGTGTTATCAGACTACCTCAGAAAAAGGAATGAACACATCTCTACGACTTCTCTGGCAGTACAACGCTACCTTGCATATTAACGGCATGGCACCAGGATGAAAGGGGTTAAATGTCCTACCAAGGATCATACAAGAAACCCGTGTTAATGCCTAAGACTGAATCTGGACAGCAAGTCTCAGTCCTTTAACTTTTCTTTCTGTTGCTTGAAGAAGAGAAGGCAGGTTACCTTCTAAAAACTAATACAAACATCTTGGTACCTTGGGTACCATCCAGGCAGCTGCAGTCCATGTCTGAAACCAAACCTCTCGCGGATGGCCCTGCCGCAGCATCCAGCATGGGGAGGCAGCTACAGAGGAAACATCCTGTGCATACCTGTCACCTCCCCAGTGATTTCTTCAGCTGATCAAGCTGTTGCCACCCTGGCATTGCTGCTCCTTGGTGACAGCCACTGGCTTTTGCTCCAGCTGCGTGTAGAGGCTGCTCCACCCAGCAACGTGAGCAACGCTGCTAGGAGGGAGAGGAAAAATCACCAGAATTCTTACCAATAGGCCTGACTGTGGGCCTTTAGATATTAAGCTCTTCCCATGACTATTGCTGTAATGTGACATTCAGCTTTTTAAAAGATAAAAATAAACCTCATGGTAACTTATGTGGCCCTGCAGTTCTTTGCTGGGAACGAGAACGAGGTTTGCCGGCTGTCTCTGCCTCTCACAGCAAACCATCTCCAATCAAACAACAGTGTCCCAGAAAGGTACAAATTTTTATACTTGACTTTCAGTGTTCCTTTCAGCAACAGTTTCTCGGGTTTAGTTTTTAAAGGAAGGAAATTAAACGGAGAAAAAGATTGCCCTATGCTAATTCACCAGTTAAACTCCCAGGAAGCTGCAGAAGATAAGGTTCCCATAGCAATTGGAATAGGTACCGCATTGCACAGACGAGGCTCGATTTTCCCTCTTATTTTCAGTGCTGGTGGTTTATCTCCACACAGCATGGGGAAAAGCAATTACTTGGAACAAGGAACAAGGGAAAGGAGCCTGTGGCATTTCTGATGCTTTTTAATGGCTATTCTCTGGCATGGTTTGATGCACCAGTCACTATTGCAACACAGCCATGCGCTGGTGCGTGTGCCCTCAACCATGGCAGAGCTCCTGCGGGGATCCTGCCGCTGTCTTTTCCTGTGGTTTTAACTGTGAAATTCTGATCAGCAGTCAAGCAGGTTTTGGCAGGGAGTTTTACAGCCCCAGACTCCACAGGACAGAGCTGTGTGGCACTGCACCAAATGCTGCAACCGGGCGCAATCCCTCTCAGCCGGTGCCTCACATTCATGACTATCCGGGCAACGAGAGACCTTTAATTCGACACAATCTGCTTCCAGTGAACCCATCTTACCTATTAATTATCACTTTATCTCGCCTGAGCTTATGATTATTGCATCCAATTATGTCTTTCTTATCCCCTGAACAGTCATTTGCAGCAAAGCCAAGGGAGTGCAATTCCTCTCCCACCCTCGCCCTAAAGCTACTCTGCCACTCAGAATCAGGCCCATCCACTCCTTCGTTGATTCCTTTACAAAATGCCCCAGCAGCGCAGTTAAATTTGGGGGTGTGCAGTCCCTAGAGTCTCATTTCTCCCTGCTGTGCTGCAGCTTATTTTTTTTACCAACTGCTCTGGGACTTTTCCTGCACATCATGTATTTTCTGAAAGAATTGTCAAATATTCAACTGTTTCACTCTTGGATGCATTTTCGTTGGGCCATGTAGTTTTGACGAGGAGCAAGTCCCCTAGATACATAGTTATTCCTCACCCCCTTTCCATCCTGAGTCTGCCTTGAGATCCATCATCATCTATGATTGCATCAAGCACGCTGTCACTCTCTTCCCTTTCAGTGACAACTGAAGTCATAACTACAAACACTGCAGCCTCTTTTTATCTTTGCCTGTGATATGTTCCTGGCTCCCTCTCCCTTGCACATAGGTGACCTAGCAATGCCCTTTATTTTGTCATCCTCCAGCTTCTTAGCTACTTCTGAACCAACTTACTTATTCCCTCTGCTAACGTCCCATCGTTTTGTGCCTTTGCATCCCTAACTTTGCTCCTGCACACCTTTATTCACTGTGCTCTCTCACCACTCTGGTTTCCTTTCCTCCTGTCAACACGACCACATTTTTTGTCTTTTCTTTTTTTGTTGACATGTAGTTTTCCTTTTCCCCACTCCTGTCAGTACCAGAGGACACTTCTGACAAAAGCATGTTACTCTCTCCCCAGCTGCTGACAGGGAGTTTTCCCCAGGGTGCCAAAAGAAACGCTGCCGCCAGTGGGCACAACCAGCTAGCTGGAAGGAGAGGGTGTCCCAGGTTCTTCTGTCTCAGATGTGAAGAAGAGCAGAGCCCATGGGAGAAAAGAAAACACTTTGGGAAAGAGAGAGCAAATCAGTGTGAGGTATGGAGGAGACATCCTCGGTGCCTTAGAAGTGGGTTTCTCTCTCTGTGATGCTGAGCACCTCCTGGACCGCAGGGGACCATCCCTTGCTCTTGAGGTCAGCCAGCCCCACCACAAGCTTCTTCAGCCGCGGCAGGTCCTCCGCCGGGGAAGTCAGCTGTGCCAGCCGCTGCGGAGAGGAAGCCTCTGTTAATTAAGCTGATAAATAAACTTCACCCAGTAGTGATCCACAATCATTGCTGGGGGCAAAAGCATCAAGAGAGCAAATGTTCCCTGCTCCTCTCCTGCCGAGCAGCTGTGAAAGGGAGAGGAAGGAGAGCAGGTTCACTTTAGCTGTTTTCAATAACGATTATTCCACCTCTGGGGTCAAACCTGAGCCGTGGACTGACAACTCAGTGTGCAGGGCTCCTCACAGACATGTTTCTAGGAAGAAGGATGAGACGGATTAGCCCCACAGATGTTTTCTGTGGCCAGGGAAAAGCCACCATGAAGTCCTTTTTTTGCCCTGTGTCAAATAGCCATGCTTCCTGATGACTTTGGTGGGAGTTGTGGAGCCTTACAAATGGCCTGGCCATTAGAAAGTGCTGGGCATCTCCTGTATGATCCAAGACAGGGTGGGGCAGCTGCCTGCTCCTAGCTCTTCCCATCCTCCACAACACAGGGATGCTGCAGGCTGCTTCACACGTGTACACTAGTGTTTTGTCAGCTTTGGGAAGTTTATTCTTAAAAAATGCAAAGAACCTGGAGCTCTTTGGGCAATAGGTCCTAGCCTCACAGAGACAGCTGTGAATTTGTGGTCTTTCTCATCTCATTTTTGAAGCCTCTCTGGTACCACACACCTTCCTGAGTGCCTGGGCTCTTCCCAAAGCCAAACAACATGCAGTGTCCTGCACCCCCCTGCTCAGCTCCATGGACCAGCGTATCACTTCCCTGTTGAATACAGACTTCCACCGATACTAACTTTTTCCATCACAAGCTGTTCAGGCCAGTGCACTCTCCTCCCTTGCAGAGTGCATCACAAGCAAAGCAGGCAATTCATCCATAACTCATTGGATTCATTTCAGTGCTTCCACTCCTTGTGAAGTGCCTGCCAGAATCCTGGATTTTGCTCATTTATTCAAAAGTATTCACTTCATAATTACTGAAATAGGCCTTGGCCTGCAGCTGCTCTGTGAACAGTTCATTGTGAGCTTTCAATCTTCGGAGCTTGAGCTGTCTTAATCAGACACATTAGCAAACAACGTTTGTGTTTCTTGGTCAATCAAGTGTAACAAGAGGAATCTGTTCATTGCAGTGACTGATCATAATTACCAATTACAAACTTACTTGCAGTGACTGGTTTGAAATATTCAGTTGAAAGGCACTATTCCTGGAAGCATCTGTGTCAGGAAATTAATTCACTACGTTTCTGAGGTATAACTAGGAAAAGGGAGCAGGTATATTTTGAGCAAAATCTGTTTTCAAAACAGGAGCAACTATTCCAGGGGGTATCATGTGGTTGACTTTGATTGTCCCTTTAATCAGCCCAGACTTAGTAGCTGATTCCTTCCTACATGCCTAAACCATATTCTTGAAAGTTTCTTTGTGCTAATATAACTGAGAAGTCCCTGGAAATTGCAACTAATATCATTTAAACCAGGGCAAACAGAAAAACCCTCAATCTGAAATTGGCCAAATCAATTCCTTGGATGTGCTGTAAAATGAGCATTAACACGACTCACAGGAACGTTTCAGTCCAAAGGCTCACAGCACTTTGCCAGAGGTGAGAAATACGGCTTTTGTAGGAGGCGGGCAGCACGGACGATTGCCTCGCTGAGAGCTCCAGGCCCTCAGTTAGACATATGCAACCTCTGATCCGTGGCGAGTCAGACATTGTCAGTGACCCAGTCACACTCTTCAAACAGGCCATGGGAAAGGGCAGATGTGTTACTGCTAAATGGCCCAGAGCACAGGACAGGGACGTAAGAGACAGGGCCCGAGGTCTGAACTTGGAGTAAATCATACCACAGCACCTTGGCACAAGATCTGCCTGGAGTTCCTCATGTTGAGAGGTTTACCACTCCCAGTTCCCTTCCAACCTTGTCCTCCCTTCATGGCCTCCAATGACAGCTAGGAGGCCCAAGTGCCAAAGGCATCTAAAGAGGAACTATTTCTATTATACTTCTTCACCTGCCCACCTGCAGGGCTTATGCCCCTCTTACTGTGTCACTGAAGACTTTCATCTCTGCTGTTCCTCTGTGGGCATTGCACTTTATCTTCTGAGCCTGAAATGGGCATTAGCAAGTTCTGCCACAACTCCTGTCACTCTCTATTAAGTCACATCTCCCAGCCAGCAAGTAAGAGTCCCTGTGGGAACAGATTCACCTTCCATGGAGCAATGGAGCCCACGAGGACACCCTGCACACAGCCTGTCCCTGGCTGTGTTGGCAAAGCAGGTTCCTCCTCCCCATGACCCCACAATGTGACTGTCACACCTACACCACAGCCACAGGGATGCTCCCATTCCCTGTTCACATGCTCCCCACTCCAAACAGCTGCAAATGAACCTGCAGTTAGTGAGGACAGGAAAGGATTGGAAAAGAAATTGTACAGAAATGTATGGGCACCGTACATTACTCAGGTCTTTCCTCCTGGGTCAGGTGGGGTGTCATCTCTATGACACATTTTTTCCTAGGACAAGGTGTCTACAGTGAAAGAGGACAGACTTGGGCATGGCAAAGGGTAGACACTGACAGCTTTGCGAGCATGTCATCTTTAACAGCCACGTGTTGTTTCTTCAGAGAAACTAACATGGTCCTCACCCAGGACTAAAAGGGCAGCAAGGGCAGGACAAGAAGTAAAGGCAAAGCAGAACCTGGCTGGTTTGCACCGGCCCTAGTCGGTAATGAAAGACAAGGTGAGGGTGGTGGCATGCTATCTTTACTTACGTGGCCAGCCCACACTAAGGGGTTTACTGCCAGCCAGTGGAGCCAGTGTTAGAGGCACTCTGAACGTCTACACCTTGAACTGAGCATGGTGGTGTGACATCTCATGGGAGACTCTGGACATTTGATTATCACCTTGGAAGCTGTGCCGAGACTCTCCAAGCCCTCCCAATTGACAGCAAGAGGTACAGGACATTCTGGAGAAGGGTCACTCTCACCATCCATGACTTCTCAGAGAAGAAATGTGTCACGTGCATCTTCCCCAGGACCCTTCCCATAAGCCAACTGAGGAAAGCAGCAGCAACTTGCCCAGTGAGCACAATCCCAGTACCTGCTTCAGGGGTCCTTTGGTTTTCAGAAGGATGAAGATGGCGTAGAGAGGAATGCAGACCATGGAGGAGAGTGCCATCAGCCAGCCCACCACGTAACCCCAGGGCGGGTACACATAGGAATTGTTGTATTTCAAGGGCTTGTATTTGACCAAGGAAAACAGGAAGACGGCCTGAGGAGCAGAGGACACAGACATAGCCAGAGCAAAGGGAGCAGCCAAGCTGGCAGCCTGGCCACCGACTGGGTGGCAACAACTGTGCTATCTTGCATAAGCCAGTGTGGATCTTGCTAGCTGCTGCTAGGCAGAGTCTGGTGCATGCAGTGTGCACAAGGAGTTATCTCAGAGCCAGGGCAAGGCTTCTCTGCAGTGTAAAGTTTTCAGGCTTCTGAGGAGTTCAGCCTAAGCAAACTTGGCAGCAGCTTTGAGGGTCCAGCAACATTAAGACAGTAATTCATTCATATCAAAGGCAGGAATTGTTGTGCCTGACAGAAGCCCTCCAGAAGTACCACATGGGCACAGCTTTACCCCTCTTGGGGCTTTCTCGCCATAGAGCTCTCAAATTGATTTGGGCTGAGTCAGGCTTGCTTTGAAAATTTCCCTGATATTCAACTCCTGCTGGAGCCCGAGGACAAAGGTCTAGAAATCTTTTGGAAGCTGTAGTTACAAATCTCATCTGTGTTCCTACTGGGGTCAAAGAGAACAACTCTCAACATCAGATGCAGGAGCAGAATTTGGCTCAAAAATCATGTAAAAGTCAGTGGAGCAAGACTGGACATCAACTCAAAATAGGCAAGAACTAACCAACTTTGGGTACATTTTCTTCAGACATAGTTGTCAAAAGTTTTAAAAGATAACATGTTTAATATTTAGTAACACAGAAAGCAAATGGCTGGGAAATGATAATTCTGAACCATTGGAGGTCACAGGAACTCAGGATGAGGCAATAGTAATTCTCACAGGTCTCTAGTCAAAAGTCATTTGACCAGACTTCTCCAGACTTTGTGGATACATTTCCCTTTGTCTTCACAGTAAACAAGTGATTTTTCAGGCTCAATTAATTTTCCAGGCAAAAGATAGGGCTTTACAAAGGAAATAAATAGCTGCCTCAGCTATAGACAAGCTTCTGCTTCTCCATTGCAGCTTGAAAAATTTACAGCAGCACCCTGAAGACAAATCAGCCTTTTCTACTGAGAACTCGGGGACCCAGAATAATATGCCATGTTGTCATAATTGCACTTACCAAGCACAGACCCGGGGTGAACACCAGCCAGCATATCTTGATCAAAGGCCATGGCCGGAAACCAATCATGTCCTCAATGTTGTCATAGAAGCGGTTGGCACCTTGGCCACCAGCCAGCACAGAGACAAAGTCAGAGGTCAGATCATTGGTTTTTTCCTTCAACCTCTATTCACACCAGATCCCAACTTGCTTTATCCTCAGTGTTTAATCCTGGAAAAAACATGGCTATCCTAATAATAAGGCAGCAGGTAACACGCTTTTCTGGCACTGAAAAGGCCCAAATGTGGCTAAATACAGATGGAGGTTTTTAACTTCAGCCAGAAATTATCAGAAAGCTTGACACAGAAGAAATGCCCTGTTGCTCTAGGTGAGAGGATGCAGCCTGTGCACCACTAAAAAGTGGTAAGGACCAGCACAAGGCAAGGAGGAAGCTCTTGCAGGTTGAGCATGTGGGACTGTGTGAGCCCAGCGTACTGAAATGAACAAAGAGAGGGATACACACACACACACACACACGCGCGCACACACACAAATCCCTCTCTAGGTAACCAGATCAGTACACCAGGGAAGTCATGTCAAGAATCCCCACTGAGCTGGGTACTTCCCCTACCATCAAAAGCCTGCTTTCCACAGAGTATTTTATCTACGGCATAAACCTAGAAGACCTGACAATCCAAACTCTACTGTAAACCAACTCTCCCATCTTCAAGTGCTGCTGTAGTGTCTAATGGGAGCTGCCCTGGGGGTGCCTGATCTCCTTCTTCTCCTCCCACCAGTTTTGCTTACTAGATTATGTTGTTCACAGTATGCAGGACTCACCTGAATCTCGTGGTGCACCAGAATGGGATATACCTCTAAAAAGCATCTAAAAGTCCTGCTACTAGACAGCCTCTAACCATTGACTCTTCCCAAACCCAAGCACAAAGGGGAAATGTGTGCAATGGTATACAGAGATGATGTAACGCAGATGGACTTTAGCAGACTTTGTAGTGAGCTCTGAGGTGTATTCAAGGAACAAGAGCCTAATGCTGGCCAAAAAGAGATGTAAAATGAAGAAGAATCAAAAAGCCATTCATAAGATGCCCTGACTTCTTCCTGACCTTGGCTAACCAAAAGTCCTATATCAGGCTGCCTCAGGTAAAACACACTAACAATATTAGACAAAAAATAGAGATAGACTGTTCATTGGTTACCAATTAAGCCACCTCTGGGATTAAATAATACCATAGCTGTCTTATTGGAGTTTAATCACACTGCTTAGCTCATACAGAATGGCTCTGCCTTTAAGGGTGCTCATCTTGCTGTGAACTCAAAATCATGCCACAGTTCCCACCTGCAAGCATGACGAGACCTTGCCTCTTTGCATCTTAACACCAGCAAGCTGGGCTGGTCAAAATATATGCTGAGAGGACTGGTCACCCCTGCGAGTGTTTGGAGTTTGGTGAGCTTTATTTTGGTTTATGGGTGGGGTTTTGTTATGTCCTAATATTAAATTGCCATATTATATTTCCTTTAAATATATGAAGTCTACAAAAGCACATTATGTGTCCTTCTCATTTTTGTAATTCTTTGCATTATTTTCTATATCACATGACTAATGTTTGCAGGAAGGCTCTTTTAAACACAGCTTTTTGAAGTATTTAGGCTGGGGAAGTCAGGTTTTTTGAACATCTCAGGGTTCCCTTCCTGAGTTGGCAAGTTAACATGTAGCCTCAAGCAAAGACAACAAGCTGTGGCATATCAAGGGATGCGCATCGTTGTGTGGGAGCCCAGCCTACACCAGAGAACAGAACCTAAAACTCCCAGGCTGTAAATATCATGAGGCTTCAGATAACATTTCTGAAAATATACTGGGGATGAAAGAAAGATGGTATAAAAAATGTATTTTGGAAAAAAAACCCAACGTTTTCCACAGGGTGAAAAAAAAGGAGAAAGATATAAATGATGCAACTTGCAGTTTAGAACATGAGCATAGTACAGCCTCTTCCACCACCCAGTGTTTCCATAGAAATATATACTGTGATGTCAAACGTATAACAGAAAAATTAATTCATAACACAACTTTGTGGAAGCCAAAGTACCACCACAAATTGGGATCCAAATGGAAGAGACATAGCAATTAAAGAAATACAAAGATCATAGAATCATAGAATTATTTGTTTTGGAAGGGGCCTTAAAGATCATCTAGTTCCAACCCCTCTGCCATAGGCAGGGACATCTCCTACTGGACCAGGTTGTGCAAGACCACAACCAGACTAGTCTTGGACACCTCCAGAGCACCCACAGCTTCCCTGGGTAACCTGTCACAGCGTTTCACTACCTTCATAGTGAAGCAAGGCACAACAGACATCCATCCTCCACCAAGAAAGCAACCCAAAGCTTGCGTTGTTAGTTACTGTATGCCTCCACCTGTTCTTATCTTTAGTCTCTGCAGTACAACCATCAGGTCCTGCATTTCCACAGCCACTGTGGCAGTCTGTAGGTGATGTGATGAAACACAGCAGGAACTGATATGAACATCCTCAGAGACCACATGAACAGGAGGTTTTACATGTTCTATGTTTCACAGGCAGATGAAAAAGTAATCAAGCTTAAGAAGTCGCCAGTTGAATCATCCAACATTGGCTTTTCGAGCAAATCAGAAGCTCAAAAGAAGAACATGTGCAGTCCCCCTTCTTTCTCAGAACATTAGAAGGATTAGATAAAGCTCCTGCAAAGAAAACCATGAAGAATTTTTCAAAGAGACTTTTGCTGGAATGAACAAAGACGTTTGCTGTTATCCTCAATATCCCGAGACAAAGAACAGTCTGCAGGCACAGGGCAGTTATCTATGCGTGTTGGCACCACTTCTCTTGTGCTGACCAATCTCATATATCTTCAAAGCTGCTGTGTGCTTTTATGACAAATCATTTAATTTTGCTACATCAATTCACATGAACCCAACTAGATGTTTGATTACATCCTTATGTCTTGTTCTTACGGAGCTCTTTTCATTTTATGTGGCTTAGAACAACTGCAAGTGATACCCAAACTGAAAAGGACAAAGATTTGATTTTATTTTTACAATATCCAGAAACAGTGAGTTTCACAGGTCTGCTAGTTTGAAATCTATGAAAGAAGCCCTCTCTTTTTAATCTTTTCTCCCAAGCTGCACTTATTTGCATTCAGCTATAACAAGTTTCATCCACAGGATTTCAATAGGTGATGATCCTGGCTCTGTGCCATAGTGCTAAGCTTGAATTTGATCCCTCTGCCTTAAACCTGCAGCATCAACACCTGCGCCAAACCTGTGCAAAATGCCAGCAGCAGAGGCTTTGTGGCTCTGCAACAACTGTGCACCCTTTGGGTACCAGGTGCACAGAGCAGGCCCCTCATGGTCCATAAGCAAATGTGTAAGATTGCCTGTAGCTGGTGCATCCGAGAGGATAAAGCCCACAGAGCCAGAGCAAGCCTGCAGGCAGAAGGTGGCTGATACTTCTGGTAGCCATGCTGCATGTGTACAAGAGAGTGCACGAAAGATTTACGGGTTCACTCTAGGGCCACCCACAGGTACCTGCTGGCATCTGTTTGCTTTAGCTTTGTAAACAGTCCTGATGGCTTCAGCTCCACTCTCCTGCAGTGATGGAGGCACTCACTTTCTCCTGGAACAGCTGATCTTAACGTGCATGCTGTGACTGCCTGGAAAATTTCCTCCCTGCAGTAGGTTTTGGTGGCATCTTGTGCATCCCATCATCGTGAATCCCAGTGCTCAAACCCCATACCAGTTTCTATGAGGGCTTCCTGCCCCAAAGTGAAAGGGAGAAAGGAGAAAGGAGGGGGTGGGAAATACCAAATCCGAAAGACCTTCCAGGGAACTGGATCAGCAGGTCTGAGACTGCATGATCCTTTCACAGGCAGAGAGCAATACAGAGGAAATCCTCAGATCTTTGTGAGAGCAGCTGCCTGGCAGCAGAGAAGGTGTCAAGTGGTGGGTGTTTGGCGTATGTGCTGGGAGAGGGGAAACTCAGAACGCGTATTTGTGTTAGCAAAGATGCTATAAATCTTCACAGAGTAAGCAAGAGGCTCAGCCCTGCCAATTCTGAGGCTGGGAAGAAAAAAAAAAAAAAAAAAAAAAAGCATTAATTGACATCAGGCACTTTTTTTTTTTTTTTTCCCACTAAGATGCCTCACCTTGGCCATCTGATTACATTTCAGACCAGAATCAGCCCAATGGATGCAAAGCAGAACACCACAAGGATAAAACCCTGCTGTGTGGAGTGAGGCAAATGAACCCATGGCGCTGAGGGAAAGGGCCATTTCTCAGTCCCCAGCTGCTCCAGCCCCTCTCCAGGCTTCTGGGGCAGAATCACCTCTCCTGCTGCTCATCATCTGCCATTGCTCCTCTCCTCCATGGGTGGTGGAAAAAGGCATGTGGCCTGTGCGACTGTAAAAATGGCAGGGGAGTTCTATACATTAAAGCATAACTCAGTTTAATGTTCAGTTTAATTCAGCATGGTGATGATGAAGCCCTGTCAGAGATGGATTTGAATCTCTATCCTCCTGCAGATCTCTCAGAGATTGGGTAGAAGGCAATTCTAAATTAAAGTCTGGCCAGGGTCTGGAAATGCAAGCTCTTAGGTGAGCATTCCTTGCAGGGTATCTCTGTAGAATAAATCTCTCTTACAGAACTGCTTCTCTTGCAATCCCTGAAGGTCAACCCCAAACATCTAGACCTGCTACCATTTCAGTAAGAGTGGAGCACATCCAGACTAGCAATCAGCTCCTGCTGTACATAAAGTGTTTGGAGAAACTGATAACCCCTTCATCAGCAACTGCACTACAGCCAATGCAACCTCCATAAAAAAGGAAGTGCTAAACAGGAACTGACTATTCACTGTCTCTTCTAAAATAAGATGAAAGTGGCACCAAATGAAATTAGCAGGTGGCAGCTTCAAAACAGAGAAAAGAATGACTCCTCGCACAACACATGACCAAGCCATGGAGGTCCTTGCCTGCAGCATTTTGTGGATGATAAATATTTACCTTAGTTAACTGGAATTAACAGAGAAGAAAAAAAAAAAAAAGATTTTAATTCTGACTCTGGAAATCTCTGCACAAGATGAGTATTGCATCTGGCTCCGGGAGCCTCAGCACAAGAGAGACCTGGGCCTGTTAGGGTGGGTCCAGACAAGGGCCATGAAAACAATGAGAGGTCTGGAACACTTCTCTTGTGAAGAATGGCTGAGAGAGTTGGAGCTGCTCACCTTGGAGGAGAGAAGGCTCTAGGAAGACCTTGGGATGGCCTTTCAATATATAAAGGGGGCTTGTAAGAAAAACAGACATAGGCTTGTTACTTGGGCTTGTAGTGACATGACAAGATGTAACAGTTTTAAACTGAAAGAGGGTAGATTTAGATGGCATATAAGGAAGAAATTTTTTGCTACGAGAGTGTTGACACAAAGGAACAGCCTGCCCAGAGAAGTTGTAAGTCCACAATCACTGCAAGTGTTCAAGGTCAGGCTGGGCAGGGCTTTGAGCAACCTGGTATAATGAAAGACATCCCTGTTCATGGCAGGGGGGTTGCACTAAATGACCTTTAAAGGTCCTTTCCAACCCAAACCATTCTATGGTTCTATAATAAGCAGCAGCTAGAATAATAGTCACAGAAAGTGTCCCTGAGAAGTTTTTTACTATTATGCTGTGTTCTGAGCATCCACTCTTGGCCTCTGGAAGAGACACAACATGATGCTCATGCCTGCAATCTTTTTGTTAGGTTAGGATGGTCATGCTGTTTGGCATAGCTAGGAGCCAGTAGATGCATAATTGTTGGTTGTTGAAGGCTTGTTCTAAGCTACTATAGCTTTGTACGATCCTTACTGAGCTTGCTATACTTACTGAGCTCCTATAGCTCCATGAAGCTAAGGAGAGACAGCAGTTGCTTAACACCTCACACAGCTAGACCCTTTGCCCAAAACCCACCAGCCTCGTTGCAAGCTTCAGGAAAATGAAAAGCAGTCTGTGTGCTCAGGCACTATTCAGCAGGCAAGAGATCTCCTGTAGGATATCACAGGGTGTTCGTCTTACTGCACAGACTAACAAGCAGTTGACTTCCTTCTGACAGTCTGTGGAGCTCAGTTTAATCCTGCTCCTGAGCAGTTTAGTTAGAGACTTCACTGAGAGCCAAAGAATTCTCTCCCATTTCTTTTAGGAGTGCCCTCACAGCCTGTGCCAACAGGAAGCGTGTATTGTCGCAGAAATAACCCACAGTAAGCCTGCATCCCAGCATTTTGTTTTAAATTGACCAACAGGACTAAACTAAATGCACACTGTAAGCAGTAGCAGAGACCAAGAACAGCAGTCACTCCTCTATAGCTGATTTTCTATTTGAAAGGACAGATGGGAAAAGCAGTAAGGTGTTCAACACAAGGAACCTTCAGAGGGGGAAAAAACAATCCTACCCTAAATGTGGAGCAACTAAGAAGTGTTGTGAGGAAACACAGTGAGAAAGAGGGTAATCACAGCATTTCTTTGCCCCCTAAGGATCTTTTCTGTCCACCCCCACTTATCAACCCCCTATCCTTGTCTTGAGAAATATCAACACAGTGTTTTGTCCTCCACTTACCATACACCCATCCTATACAGATGACTTCAAAAATGGCCAGGAAGAGCAGGCACATGCCACTGGCAGCATAGTAGTCGAAAAGCTGGAAGATGTACATTCCACCCTGTTGAAGAGGTAAAGAAGAGAGAGTCTTGCAGGAGTCTTTCCCACGTGAGGGAAAAATGACTGAGGTAAGCAGAAGAACAGCAGCAGAACACTGTGCCTAGAGCAGGTGGGTGAAGGACAAGAGCCTTCTCTTTGGACTACCCCCATTCTGTCCCAAAAAAAAGACAGTCAGGCCTGGTGGCAGGATAACATTTCATGCCCATTTTACGGTACTGCTGGGCTTGGCTGGTTTCTATGTCCATAGGAGCAGGAGCTAGTTTGTTTGCTTGTTTTAAATCAGTTAGCAACTTTACAGCACCATTTCTTTTCCTGGTTTGCAGCATTTCTAAACACCACACAGCAGTACCGAGCTTTGCACCCAAGAAACTGGGATCCTGAGGATCAGGACATTCAGATACCTCATTTTAGCTGCATCCACCTTTACATATTTCTCAAGGTCCAAGCCCTGCAATGGCAGAGGCATGTGTCTTCCCTGCTGCCTCTGCCTTCAAGCTGAGCCCTGCATAGCTACTGTCAGCTGTCTCTATAGGTCAGTGGATGACTCCTCTCTCATACTTTCATGTGTTCTCTCAAAGAGAAAGCCCCTTAAGTACAAGTCAAGCAGATGCTTTCAAGTGGTGCTGAAGAGCTCTAGACACTGCTAGAGTAACAGAGCAGGTACCCCTTCATCCCACCGTGTATGAAGTGACATCCTGTAATGATGGGAGTAGATGCCTCAATGCAAGGGGACAAGAAAAAGCCGTAGGAAACCTTAATGCAGTTTTACTCAGAACTCTTTGGATCACAGTGGGAGTTGCCTTCAGCAAATCTTTAGCCAGGATCCTGTTGGAGGATCATTCAGCAGTGCCTAAGAGTTTTCGCAGGCATTAGCTGTAACTACACACCACATGGAGGAAACACAGAAGAGTGGCAAGAGCCCTGCCCAAACGTGCAGTATGCACACACAGCACAGCACGCCGCTGTGCAGGAAGAGGTGCCAGGCTGTAGAGCAGAGCAAACACCCTATGCACAGTATTGCACCATCACAGCTCTGCTCCTTCTGGTCCCATGGGTCACAGGATCAGGGCTATGGTGCACCCATTACCCTCAGCCTCCCCTCCTGCTGCTCTGCTTCTTGTGGAAAGCAGCCAGCAATCAATCACTGCCCTTAGAAGAGCTTCTGCTTGTGCAGCTTGGCTTGTTTTAGCCACCAGACCTGGTATTTGCTTTGTAGCTGTATGTCAGGCAGCCTCTCTGAGCTGTGGGACTGTCTCTCTGGAAGGCTCAGTTGTGCAGTGTGGCATCACACAGGGTAAAAACAGCACTGGCTGTGAGAGACACCAGCTCATGCATTAGAAATTAAGGATGATTAACAGCATCAAAGACGAGTTTGCTGTCTGTACCTGCTCCTCCAGAGCAGTCTAGCAGGGTTTCTGCTGCTCAGCTGTGTACCTCAGCTACTCCTTTCTCACCTCAGTGACCAGCAGCAAGCCCAGCAGGTAGCATATGACTGCAATGGCCAGGATCAGCAGCTCCCGACGCCACTTCTTCCGAAACACTTCTGGGAACATGTCAATAAGAGCTGTCACCACACTTTCCACACAGACAAACTGCAGAAGAAGAGAGGTCAGAAAAATCAGTGTCTCCTCTTCTCTAAATGAACACCCTTCTCACTGTCCTTTTTTTCTCCAGCCACTCAAATCCTTATTTTTTTGTTTTCTCTTTTTGTCTCTCTTGCTTCCACCAAGGGCCAGGTGCAGCTGCTAGGGACCCAAACACAGCTCAATGTACCAGTGAGGAGCTGCAGAACAAAGGAGTTAAAAATACAGCCCCATGTTGAGAGGACAAACTCTGAGATGTAGAAGGAGTTGCCACAAACCCGACGGAGCATGATGCTGCACAGCAGGACTGACCAAAGGGTGTGGAGGCATGGGACAGACTGTGCCCCTTGAGCAGGGTGAGGAAGCACCTGAGATAGTTCAAGGAACCCTTGTGACAGGAAGCTCCCTCTGCCACCATGAAGCTAAAGGAAGCCAGGTGACTGTGGGGCATGGCTCAGCCGTAAAATCAAGCACACCCCTCAAACAGCAGGGCTGGCTGCAAAATATGTCACAACTGCCTGAGACACCCAAATGTAGTGGGTGGGACAACCCAGTAGAGCAGCTGCCCAGGGGTCCTGCAGGTGAGTTGCTGGATTTTGGGGCTGACCATGTGGCAGGGACATGTGCTCATCACCAGTCCTACAACGCACATCACCCATGGAGTATGTAAGAGAATATCAGCCACTGTCAGCAGGATGCAGAGCCATAAGCAAGATGAGGCAGGAGGTGACCTCAACCCAGAGAAACAGAGGAAAGAGACCTCATTCTCCTGGTGAAGGGACTGAGGTGCTGCAAAGCAGAGCCTGAGCAGAGCACCCTGCCTGGCAGACATGCCAGGACATCCCTTGCTCCCCTCATCCCAGCATGCCAGGGTTGCACACTTCACTCCACAGGGTCCTCTGCTGGGATTGGCTCCTGGTATATCAGAGGTATGGGAGAGTAAGAGATGGGCACACCAGGAAGGAGAGCACACAAGGATTGCTCTGGCGAGATGCAGCTGGGAGAAAAGAGCCCCATTCTCCTTTCCAGCCTCCCCTGCTCTGCGACAGGCCTCGCTCTGCAGTGGGCATGGTTTTGGTGCTGGCACAGAGGTGGGAGGGGATGTAGCTCAGACATCCTCAAGTACTCACAGGGAGATGGATGATAAACAGAGATGCCACAACACACAACCACTGGGCTCCCATCAGCCCTGGCTCTGAGCTTCCACAGCATGGAAGTGCTGTGGACAATACGGAGAAAGTATTCGAGGTACCAGCAAAGGACATAACCACCTTATCCTTTCCCATGGATTTGGAGAGTGCTTAGGATGGGGGCAGGCACCTGGACATTAGGTGAGGAGGGAGCATTTGCTGTACCTGGCTGTCCAGTCCCAAGAAGATCAGCATGAGGAAGAAGAGGCAGGACCAGAGCTGAGATGCAGGCATCATCGTTACTGCTGCTGGATACGCTATGAAAGCCAGGCCAGGACCTGCGAACAGACCACAGGATGACCACGTGTGTCTCCCACACCACTGCCTGCCAGCATCACCCTGCAGCACAGAGTGAGCTCACATAGCCCTCCAAAGCAGGGCTGAAAGCTGTGTTGGGAAGCACTGGTCCTGCAGGCGTCACTGCCGACACCCATAGTGATAGAGGGTCTTTTCAGTGGTGCTCAGTGATAGGACAAGGGGCAACAGGCACAAGCCAGAACACAGAAAGTTCCACCTAAATGTAAGGAAAAAATCCTTTACTTTGATGGTGAATCATGGAATCATTAAGGCTGGAAAAGACCCCTAAGATCATCAAGTCCAACCATCAACCCAACACTACCATGACCACTAAACCATGTCCCAAAGTACCATGTCTACACGTTCTTCGAACACCTCCAGGGATGGTGATTCCACCACCTCCCTGGGCAGCCTGGTCCAATGCCTCACCACTCCTTAAGTAAAGAAATTCTTCCTAATACCCCATCTAAATCTCCCCTGGTGCAACATAAGCACATTTCTTCTCGTCCTATCACTAGTTACTTAGGGGAAAAGGGACCAACACCCCACTCACTACAACCTCCTTTCAGGGAGTTGTAGAGATTAATAAGGTCTCCCCTCAGCCTCCTCTTCTCCAGACTAAGCAACCACAGTTCCCTCAGCTGCTCCTTGTAAGACATGTTCCCCAGACCCTTGACCAGCTTCGTTACCCTTCTCTGGACCCACTGCAACACCTCAATGTCTTTCTTATACTGTGGTACCCAAAACCGAGCAGAAGTGAAGTGAAGTGAAGTGAAGTGAAGTGAAGTGAAGTGAAGTGAAGTGAAGTGAAGTGAAGTGAAGTAGCACTGGAACAGGCTGCCTACAGAGATTGTGGAGTCTCTTTCTGTGGAGACTTTCAAAACCTGCCTGGATGTGTCCCTGTGCAACCTGCTCTGGGCGATCCTGCTTTAGGAGAGGGATTGGGCTAGATGATCCCCGGAGGTTCCTTCCAACCCCTACCATTCAGTGATTCTGGGACTCTGTAGGTAACATCCTAGGTTTCACTTTAGAAATGTCCTCTCCCCTTCATGCTTTCTTTTTTGCCTTGGCTCTGAAGTCTCTTGGAAAAACCTACCTGATTCAGCCACTTCTGCAATCGGTACACCCTGCTCATGAGCCATGAAGCCCAGCACAGAGAAAATGGCAAAGCCAGCAATGAAGCTGGTGGCACTGTTCAGGAAGCAGAGCATGATGCAGTCCCTGCAGGGAGGAGACCAAAGAGAAATCAGTGTTTCCTGCTGCAGAATGGGTCCGCTTGGGATCACGTCTGCACTCAGTTTCACCAGTTGGACAGCATGGACCAAGGAACAGCAACACTGCTCTTGAACTCCTTCAGAAGCAAAAAGCTCAGAACAGAGCCAATAATCAGCTCACCTACCTTGTGCTCCACTGTTCAAGAGTTATAAGACTATACCTGGCACCTTGCAAAAGTAAACATAGTCAAGACAGAGGAGCATCTGAAAGCACAAACACATGCAGGCTCACCAGCTCTGGTAGAATGAGGACTATCGGGTTAACAAAAATCCTCATCTGACAAGGGTTGTATCTACACTGCCTTTATTAACAGTGTCCAGCTGGAAGGTGGAATGTGCTATGCCACTCGTCCTGAAAAGTCTGTGCACTTGCAGGGCACCAGTTTGAGCTAGCTGGGCTGGAAATCCCACACCCTGCTGCCAGAACTCTGCTGGGTTTGGCTGGGACAGGGTTAGTGTTCACAAGCAGCTGCAGCTGGGTGAGGCAACACCCAGCACACTGGGCCACCCAGCACTAAGCTGGCCTTCCAAGGCACCTTGGAAGAAGGCACCGGAGGAAGGCACCAGCACACCACTCCATTGGTGACAGATACATTGCAGGGGAGCCAGGGGGAAATACTCATTGCCTGACCAACAGCTGTGGCAGCAGCTACTGGAGAACAGAAGAAGAGGTGAGGTGATTGAAGTCTCCCAGGCACCATTATATTTTCCTGTCCATGTTGGAACAATACATGAAGGAGTAACAAAGCCCTTGCTCCACAGGGCTTTATGGAAGGTGTCAGAAATGGTCCTGATGGCTTCCCTGAGCTCCATGTCAGGCCATGGATAAAATAGATCTGTAATCCAAGGGCTAGGAGGAGGCCAGGCAGATTTGATGGATCTCCTCAATAGCATCAAAATGCCACTGGCAGTACGTTATGCTGATGATAGTAAAGCACTGGAGGCAGGAGGCCCAGCCATCATCTTTTTACCATTTCCCCTGCCTAGCAAAGTGACAGCAGAGCTGGCTGTGCTATCTCTGCTGGCTCACCCTGTCAAAACTGCCTGCAGTGTCTCCACAGTGGCTGGAGACGCTCTCTGTTTTCATCCCTCCCCCTCCTCCAGCCTCTCCTGTTTCCAAGCTGACTCGGACAGGCGAGCACTACTAAAGCCACTTTCTGGAGCTCCTATGTTTCCTCAGCCTCTCTCTCCCTCACTGAGTCCTCCACAGCTTCCACACTCTGAGTGGCTTGTTAGTCAAAGCAGCAGGACGCAAGGTCTCCCCTGGGGACAGAGCCTGCCTCAGATGCAGCTCTGTGCTGTTTTGCTCTGAGCAAATTGCCAGAAGGACACAAGGAGTCCAGGCTCCTCTTACCTGTAACAGTTGTTGGTATATTTGTTGTAGCTGCCCAGAGCTGTCAGGCACCCCTGGCAGACGGCATAAGAGAAGAGGATCTGAGTGCCTGCATCCATCCAGACCTAGAACAGAGAAGGTCAGTGGTCTCCAGACCTGGTAACAAAATAAACGAGTGGCTCTGCCCTGTCTAGCAACAGCCCCTCCATCCATGCAGAACAAACCCCATGAGACAGAGAGGTGTTTCAGTGGATGTAGAAATCAATACCTCTCTGGGAAAATTGAGCTATAGGACTGAAAGTCCTCCAGGAAAAGTCTGCTGAGGGGAACATATTTTCACATCCCACTCAAGGTGACACTAGCTCTCCATCCCATGCCTTTGCAGTCTGGTTGTAGATGGCATCCCTGACAGCATAGCTCCAGGTGAAGTTGATGCTGCAAATGTCTGTGGTCCTTACATTGCCTGGGGTTCACACAGCCACTGGTGAGTTATCCCAAATGAGGGCCAACAAGTCCTTTGCATGATCAACGCACTCCCCTCTCTGCTTCCCAGTCTAGTTTCCCACATCTCTGAAGCCACGGTGCAGGGTGATGGGCAGAAAGTTTTCAGGCTGAGAGATTTCAGGCCAGTGCGGTGTTGTGCACCCAGATTTCACTTTGCTCTGTCACCACATGGGAAAAAAGGCTGAGTGAGCTTGTCCACGGCTGCTCTGGCCCGCTCCTCCACGGAGGAATCCCCTCACTCTGTGTGTTGTGGGCTGACCTACAGCTCCACTCTCACACCTTCCCAGGGAAAGCTCTGAGCTGCAAGTTAGAAGGCAAGCAGGCAAACAGCCCATCTTTCCATTTGTCTGTGTGCTCCCCCTTACTCTTTTTCCTCCAAGCAGCCTTCAGCTACAAACATCTACACAGCCTTCAAAAAATCCCAGCCCAGGTATTGCTTCTTAAATTCACATGGGTCTCTCACAGATAGGCTCATACACAGGAGCCCTTCAGGCACAGGCACACTTCCCATGTAACATCAAAGCTCCACATTCTGCCTAAACTCAGTAGCAGGACCTCTCACTCTTGCTATGCTGGGGTGCAGCAGCCTGGAAAGACCAGGTCAGCTTGAGTTAGGCTTTGAAAGATAGGGAGGTTTTCAGTGACTAAGCTCTGACCATGAATAAAACACCCTCAGCCCCAGTTATTTATTTAGATATTAAAATGCCATTTACGTTCAGCTGTTTCTTTGCGTTCAGCACACCACAGATATTGTATTGACAACACGTAATTGCTTCTGAAAGCCATTTGGGGAAAGACAGCGTGTTTCGCAGCTGGTTTGGGAGCAGTGGGGGCTTTGGCCATCTGGGAAGATGCGGGAGGTAAGCTGAGACTGTGCTTGGCTGCCTCCATGAAAAGATTCAGACATGAAATAATTAGCAGCAGTGTCACTTAAGTGCTCTTCTGGGATGGGTCTGCACTAACACCTCCCTGGAATGGCAGAGGCAGCCTGCACGAGGGGAAGGGAATAACAGAATCCCAGAACGTTAGGGGTTGGAAGGGACCTCCAGAGATCATCATGTCCAACCCCCCTGCCAGAGCAGGACCATCTAGCCTAGGGCAGGTCACATAGGAACACATCCAGACAGGTCTTAAAAGTCTCCAAGGAAGAAGACTCCACAACCTCCCTGTGGAGCCCGTTCAGTGCTCTGGGTTGCTATAGAAAGGTGCCAGAGCAGACATCCCAGGGGTATCCTCCAAAGGAGGACAGAGAGGGGTGGTCCTGCTGCCTGCCCTGTGCAACCCCTAAGGGTACTGTCCACATCTAACCAGCTTGGGCTACTTTGCAGGTTCTGGGTTTGGCTGCACCCTCAGCCCTGATCTAGACTTACCCTTCTTTTGGCCAGCCTCTGACTCAGGCAGGTGGGACCAGGTGGGACAGGTGAAAGGAACATGCTGCCCACCTGGGGCACAGCCTATGTTACCTGTGTCCATCTGTCTCTGCAAGCACAGGGGACCCACACTCCCTGGCATGGCCCTGTTAGAGCCAAAGAAAGAGCTAACCAGGCCAAAAAAAATTAAAAGTGGTAGATTATTTTCCCCACCTTTCCTTAATTATTTGTATTTGAGACCTAGCAAAACCACCTGTTACATGCTGAATATTTAATATACTCTTCTGATTTTGCTGAGCCCATGAGTGGAAATGACTTAATATGCCCATATGCTGCAGGCCTGTGAGCAAAAATGCTGTGTGCTGGGCTGTGCTAGGGTACTAGACCCCTCTCAACTCTTCTAAGGAGGTCTCACTTGTTTGTTGGCTTCCTTTCATAGAAGACAGCTAGATCCTCAGCCAGCAGCAGATCCAAGGGCCAGGGCACCGAAAACCTTCCCATGGCCAACACTTGCCTGACCCCCACCCACCTGCGGGTCTGCCAGCTTGGAAATGTCTGGCTTCAGGTAGAAGATGATGCCCTCAGCAGCACTCGGCAACGTAACTCCCCGCAGCAGCAGGATGAGAAGCATCACGTAGGGGAAGGTGGCCGTGAAGTAAACAACCTGAGGGTGCAAGGAAACGAGGAGAGAGGCTCAGTGGGGAGGGGGTGCACACACCATCTTGTTTGCTCTCATCTGCAGACCCCACCCCAGCAAACATCCCTGGACTCTGCTGTTGGCTGTAGCTGCTACTGCTAGTGTAGAGGAGGGGTGAGAAAGAAATTAATCAAGGTTACATCTCACCAGTGATGTAGTTAATCTACATTTTGTTCCTCACCTAGCACCCTGCCACTGGTTGCTCTGCTTTATTTTCTCTTTCCAGCCAGTGTAATTTTCCTGCTCTCCAGCTGTTCCCTCCATCTTTCTAGAGCAGCAGAAGAAACCGAGATCTCCTCTTGTCACTTAGTTCTAACGAGGAGTTATTAAAATGGTCCTGGTCCCAGCAAGACTCTTCCAAATTAAATAGCAATTTTTGCTGCCCAATTTGAGACACCTCTGAGGGGTCTCATTTCCAGGGCTGCTCATGCAGCTTTCTCATCCCTTCAATGCCTCTGAGCTCACAGGTAAGAAATGGCACCTCAAAGCCTTTAAAGAAAATGCAGACCATTATTTTTGTAACACCTTTTCACTTCTTCTTGTGTATGATGTAAATAAACATTACAGTAGAATTAATCACCTCTAATCCGTTGCCTAATGTAACTTTTTTTCTTTCTGTTTGCAAAATATCTGTGAACAAGTTGCAACTTCCTAACATTTATTCATTATTATAATTCATCCAAGTAATGCAAAGCTTGTTTACTCTGTGGATTCATAGTGAAGGGCCTAAAATGACATTTTTTTTCTGCTTAGTGATTACTGATCAAATAAGTCACAGCACATGGTGATTTTGCTGTTCCCCAATTGAAAGAGAATGAGAGCACTTTTGGCACAAGTATCAAAATCTACCTTCAGAAATCACTTCTGGGAAACATTTACACACATCAGCTGAATGCATAAGGAAAGGAAACATGGAAAGAGTACAAGAGTGGGCAAAATGAATAAAAGAGAAAGGCTTTTAAAGAAAATAAGTCTTCATGGAGTTATTTTAAATTATTTTCCTGAGGTCACTATTGTTTAAGTTTGGACTCCTCAAATCACAGAAGCATAAACACAAGGGTCTGGCAGGGCTGCCCGATTAGAGCAGCCTCTCATCCAAGCACAACATCCTCTTTACTCTTCAGCTGTTGAATAAAATTAAGCACCTATTCAGAATTCTTGGGACCTCCCTACTGCTTATTTTAATACATAGTGAAGAAAAAGAAGGCAGGAGCTGATTTTTTTTAACAGAGCCCCTGTAAAGCTCAAAATTACTACCTGCAGAGAAGACAACTGGCCTGTCTGACCTGTGGTAAGCCTCAGGACAGAAAACCCCACCTTGTATTGCTGCACTATGTCTGTAATGTCTGCCTGATAAAAAGTAAGCCTTGTATCTTGAAACTTGTGATTAAAAGGTCTTCTGTGGTCCCAGGAAAACCATTACAACTACTGTGTGCAATCATTTCTCACTTTCTTCTCATTTTCTGTTCAGACTTTGCCAAACACAGATCAGCCCAACCAGCTTGACTGAACTCCTTTAGCTTTCACCTTGCGCAGGCAAGCTCTGCAAGCCAGGGCAGCACCAGGCAAAGGAGAGACTCGGTGGAGAGAGCTGAGAGTTGAAGGGAACTTGGGATGGATGATTTAATTACACTTCCATGCAGATCAAACAGCCTCTCAGATCCAATCTCCCAAGATCAGAATGATACCTCTTACGAAGATGACACTATGGTATTCAAACCAGGCAGCATTAGAGATTTAAGATTTAAAATGTGGAGCATCCCCTCTCCCTGTAGATGTGGAGTCTGTCTCTGCTTTCTTGAGAATTGGTGGGCAGCAGGCCAGCACCACCAAAGGGCTGACTCATCAGCAACGACTGGGAGTAACTTAGTGAGCAGAGCAAGCCATTGTGTTGCTCTGTTAAAGTGAGTGCCCAGTGTGGTTGTAAGGTGGGAGATGGGATTTGACACTGACACACTAGTGTCCAGTACTACAAGGAACATCTGCCTTGTAGGGATAGTGAACTGAAGGAAGGCATCTGTTGCAGAAACTGGTTCCCCTCCCTTTGCCATTGGGACATCCCCTGGACACCCACAAGACTCAGCCATTGTTAATGACCCACCCATCTCACTGCAGGAAGGAAGGAGGTCCTGAACAAGTCAAGGCCACAGCAGCATCCTTAACACCCACTCTAAGGCATCACACACTCATTGACTCCAGAGGGACAACCAGTCCACCTGATCTATGGGATCAACATCAGGAAGGAGCAATGGCTCCAGCCTCACTAGCAAAATGCAGAAAGTGACTTGCCAAGGCAAAAGCCTCAGAGCCAAGAAGAATACAAAAGAAAGTAAAGACACTTCTTCCACCCCAAGTATTTTGCAGGGTAAAGAAGCAGGAGAGATTCATTATCTATTCACTGAGATGGTTACAGGCAGAAGCTTGTCTATTTTGCTCAAGTGTTTAATTATTGCCAGTGTTAGGAAGTTTGCCAGTGCAGAGGATCTTGTTAAAAACACCATCAAGTCACATCAGGACAACACACTGGTGAATGGATGATTCCCAAGGGCATTTGGGGAGTAGCCATCAGCTGCTGTGGGTATCTTCAAGGGAAAAGGTGACTCAAGACTATTTTTAGTTCCCAGGTCTTTCTCCATTCTCCCCTCTCTGACCTATTCTTTATCTTTCCCCTTATGGGTCAAACACAATTGGTGTAAATCTGTACAGCCCTACCAGGTAGTAGGCTTGACTTTTGTGTTATGCGTCTCCCGCATCTACTTCATGAAGAGGGAAAAAAGATTGGGGAAGAAATGCAAGATGAGTACAAGGAGGCTTATGGACCAGGAGGACAATCTCTGTTCCTACTTTGCCTGTGGACTTGACCCCTTTCCAGATGCAGAAGTAGCAGATGATCCACGCCAGCAGGAGACACAGAGCCAGCTCCCAGCGCACAGTGCCCAGTTTGTGAATACCATCCGTGAGCCCCAGGACTCGCTTCCTGCCAGTGTCCAGGGACAGGGAGAGAAGCATTAACACCCACACCCCACTCACCCATACACACCTTTCCCATATTACCCCATCCAAAGACTTAACAGACTATACACAACACATCTTCCCAGGGCTCCCAGCTGTGTGAATCATCCCAGCTCTGCCTAGGTCTCCCTGTTCTGTTGTTCCTGC